CCTCCCTAACATCTGGCCACATCTCTTGGGGGAAAAAGTGTAGGGTCACTAGACAAAAGGAAAATACACTGGGTTTTTTGCAGCACGTGAGCAGGTCACTTGTTATCAGCCACGAGCTGTCACTGCATGAGCACAGCAGAGCTCTGTGTCGTTGATAGCCCAAGAGAGCTGGTGGAGGAGCCGAAATGGAGTTTGGCATGGGCATGCAGTTTGCCCCTGGCAGAAATGACTCTCCGGGTCCCTGTGTGCAGTATTCCTCACACCAGACCAGACGATCGGTTTCCCCCACTCTGTGGAGTCCCCATCATCGCTCCTCTCTGCTGCGCAAAGCAGCCCTTTATTCCCACCTTTAATCACTTTTTTTCGTTTGTGCAAGGTCCTTTCCTGTTGTGCCATAGCTGTTCAAGATCTTTTGAGAAGAGATTTTGCTGAAAGCCCTTTTATGAAAAGTCACGTAGAAAATACCAACTAGATTCTCCCTATCTTCTGGCCTGTTGACTCCTTTAAACATATCCAGAGGATTTTTGATATAACTTACTTCTGTTCATAAAACCCATGTTGACTTTTCCCTAGTATGTTAAATGTATTAATGTGTTCACTGACATTATTTGCTAAAACATTTTCTGTTAGCGTGGCTGGTACACATTTCAGGCTTACCAACCAGTAGTTTCTGAGGTCTCATCTGAAAGAAATCCTTTTAAAAGAGCTGGTGTCACATTTCCTCTATTTCAGACCTTGGGTAATCAAGAATATTTTACATGAGAGGTTATGCACCATCATTAAAAATTAATTTGGTGATTTCTTCTTGAGTTTCTTTTGCACTTTTGCTGAATGCCACCTGCTCTTGTTCTTTGTCTGCATGTTCCCCAGCATCCTCTACCAACACACAGACCATCTTGTGCATCCCCTCAAAGAGGGACTCTGGCTTTCCTGTCTACTTTCCTCCAGGGTAAGCAAAGAATTAAATTAGCCTTTCCGATATGACCTTATCTTCTCTAAGTGTTTCTTTCAGATCCTGATCAAGGACCCCAGCGGTTCTCTGACAGACAGGCTTCCTGCCTGTAGGGCATCCAAAGACAAATTCACGGTTTGTTTTGATGCTTTTTGCAAACTGCTCTTTCACTCTTCACCCTGCTTCTTGTGCCTTTCACGTTTAATCTGCCAGATTTTCTACTTTCCTCATTTGGGCACATCTTCAGATTATTTTCAGAGGGATACATGCTTCTAACAACCTTTTCTCTCTGCCGCTCGGTCCCGCCAGCTTTTCCCTTCTGATCCTTCTCAAGTCCTCGCTGACAAGCAGGTGTGTCCTGTGCCTCCAGCCCGCTGGCCACCAACAGTCTCTGGTCTATCTGGGAGGATTTGACTCTCTCGGCTCTTCCTTGGGGGCTGTTTTCTAACACGGTTCTTTTACCTGGTTCCCCTTTCTGAGGTCAGTACAACGGTGCTGAATTGTCTGGCTCTTGCTGCTCTTGCAAAGAGGTTGAATCTAGAGTATGTCTGTAACCCAGAGGCTCAAAGGTGACGGTCTGAGGCCGATGGGGTGCTCTGGGCCACTTCTCCTCTGGAAGGTTCCTTCAACAGCTGCTCCATGCAGCAGTCCTTGACTGCCGCTGAAAACGCCGTCTCCCAGGCGGACCTTGAGCCACACGGGTGGCTGAATCCGTCAGTAACCGTTGTAGCTGAAAGAAAAGGTGAGGAAGGCTTCAGGCTGCAGTTTCACAAAGCCGGGGTCGGGCTAACAGGCTGCTGCCAAGGCAAGAGGAAAGAGGCCGCTTGCCCCCTCCGGTTTTGCTGGGTTAGGAGGTTTTGCTGGCACACTTTGCTGTCAGAGCCAGGCACTGATGTCGGAGAAGGGCGGGGTGAAACCTATAGCTGGGAGGGGGATGAGGAGAAGCTGGGGGGCAGAGTGAAACCACCTCCTTTGGGCAGCAGCACAGCATTGATTCAGGAGCATCCTGGGGACGGGAACAGTTTCTTAAAACCCAACAGGTTATTTCACTGTCACTTCTAAGGGTCTAGTTTTTCTTCCAGGAATCTAATTGCTGAGCCTGAGGACTTTTAGCAATAGCACCTATGCATGTGTTATCTGATTAAACAGAAACCTGTGGCTGAGAGCTCCGATCCTTCTTCTCAAGAGTTGTTAATAAACAACACGGCCCGCTCAAGGCTTCTAGGCGATGTAGGCAAAAGCAAGTTTCGCTGCCTGATGCTCAGCGGGAGCCAGAGAGCTCCTGCAGCTCAAGGGGAGAAGGGGGGTAAGGAGGAGGTGGCGGCAGGGCTGGCTGCGGGGAGGGAGAGGGCCAGAGATCAGCTTGCTGCTGCCGGGGGCTGGAAAGCTGCCACGGCCGCTCGGGAGCGTGTCCCTGCCCTGCAGCCAGCCCGCTGAGCAGGCGGCACTGCCACGGGGACGGCCGCTTCAGCAGTCTTGTGCCCTTGGCATGCCTTGAGCCAGCCCTAATAGCTGGGATTAGAAGAAAGACGGTGCCTTAGGGCAGCTTAGCGAAATCCAACAGTTAAACAGTCCCTACACAAAAGGCAACAAGCGTCTAGGTGGGGTTGCACAGCTTCCCCTGATGCTGAAGGTGAAATAAGGGGTCCAGCAGGGGAAAACTGGGCTGCAGCATGGAAACTTTCATCATTTTTCAGATGCACTCTCCGTTCTCTCCCTTCTCTCTCAACTTTTTTTCCTTGTGTTTGTTCCCACTATACAGATACGATTTTTTTTTACTAAATTCAAAGCGTATTTGTGTGGGAGGGAGGGGTGGCTTTAAAAACGAAATCATGTCGCCACTGCTTATGATGGCAGCTGACAGCATCTTACCTGGGTAAAGTTCCCTTTTATTACAGCTGGATTTTAAGTAAGGATTGTAGCCTTTGGGTGAATGGAATTGGCCACCTTCTCCATTACAATCATCAGGCAGACTTCCACAGCACTAAGCCATCCCCACAGCTTCCCCACACAAGCACACACCCTGAAGCCAGGGAGATGAGTTACCCCTGGGAGGTTACAGCCAGCGCCAGGGCTGCCCTTTGCCCGTGGTGCTCCAGGGCAGGCTAAGCGAAACCACCTCTGTCCGGTTGTGCTTCCCATTACAAAGAAAAACTAAATGTTGACAAGAAGTGAGTGGGATTCAGATGCTGCTTCTGAACTTGCTTCTGTAAGTGCCTGTAAGAAGAGATTTGGCTTGCAACACAGTTGTGTTCAACTTTAATTGTATAATAACGGTTGCAGTAACAATGGCTTAAGGAAAAAAAATCACTTATCTGTCTTTGGTATTCCTCTGGCTTCACAGACATGAGGGACTTGATTGCGGGAGCTATAGTTCCTCATTGACTTAAATTAGATTTGTGAGTATTTGGCATTACTGGAAATACAGACCTAATTTGTAAGCTGCAGCATTTTCAAAAATGCCGTTCTTTTGCTCTAATGTGACCAAGTATTATTTTTAAATTGTGTTTTAGTTGTAGGGATGGAAATCGCAGTCGTTTATATCTGCACTATTTCTATGGACTCCCTGCCAAATAAGCTCACAGGAAAGAGTGCTACGTCCAGCAGCACAGAGTAGCTGTGTCACCACTACCCATGGGTGCCACCCTGCTCCATTTGATGTTGCCAGAAGAGCCTTAGGAGATTTTTTTCGGTTTATTTGACTTTGGCGCATCTTGGAATTTCATCCCTCCAATCTGCTCCTGCAGCCTTTTTTTCTTCTAGTTCCATATGAAAAAAATAATGAGGGGGTAAAACAAGCAGAGTGAGTGTTAATAGCCGCAGTGCTTAGTGTGGGCCCCAGCCCATATGCTCAGCACCAACAAGCAGAGCTCCTTCAGAAGAGCCTGCTGTTCCTCCTCTTGCTTTTCCTGGACACACAGTGCAAACCACTGAAGTACTTTTCTGAACCTACCGCCAGTGTCAGCAAATCAATGATCTCACCGAACACCGCTGAGACCCAAACTCATTCGTTTGAGGTAATGCTGGTAGGGGAGTAAGCGACCGTGGGTGATACGGCCGGGATGTTGTAGGCACAATATTACACTCGAACTGCGAGTAAGGCGCTTGGGTTTCACGGAATAGCCCGTGCGGGTTGGTGTGTGCCATCCAGCTCCCAGGTAGGAAGGTGATGGATCTCGGCACTCTCCAGTGAGTTTCGTTTCAGTTCCCAGTGAAAATAAACGCGACTTCGAAGACCGTAACGCTGCATGTGCACGCGAGATGCGGCTCCGGGCAATAATGGCACGGTGAGCAGCAGGCAGCGTGTTTGGGATGAGAACCCCAGACCCGTGAGACCAGCCCGCCCCACCGGCGGCTCTCCGGGCTGCCAGCGGCAGGCGGGGCGGGCAGCG